ATTTTAATAATACTCTTTTATTTTCAATCTCGTTCTGATAATGCTTAGGATGCCTTGACATTGGGATTGTTTACCCACTCTTGGTGGTTACAAATAATTATAAGAAAGTGATATTCACACACTTATTCTTATCTTCTAAATACACATATTAGTATTTGGTCATTAATCTGACGATTGAAAATTAAAATTGGTTTGCGTGAGAAGTAGGGAAGGGAAGGCATAGATGGACGGGTGGCTAGCATTCAAAGAACGTGGAGAGGAGGGGAGAGGGGATTAACTCTAGTTGGGAGGTAGTTGCTATTATATGGGGTTTGGTGGGAACATGTGTCTCCATTAAACTTCACACATGTAGTTATACATTCACATACCTACTTCCTCCTTCCCTACCTACGTGATACAACAATTGTAGTTGTTTATTTATATATTTATTTTTAAATCACTTCCAACTCATCCGTTCAAGCAAGTGTCATTTTATTACAATGGTAAAAAAAAGTTTAAGTCATGACATGACGGCGTCAGTGGAACCTCGTCGATGACTAATCAAATATCTAATCTAATAAAATATATCATTGTGTTACAATTACACAAATAAAATATCTCATATTCAACTCATATAGAAAACGATGACATGTTTATGTTGAGTTGCATACTTAGTGGCTGATGCATTGAGTATCTGCCTCAAATCTTTATTCCTTTAAAGTAAATATTGTTATTTATAAATTTAAAAAATAGATCAATAGAAAATTACACTGCCGTTTGGGAGTTTAGGTGCAGTGCACAATAGACCAAAATCCGTTAGTCAAAATTTGGGTCAACAAATAGATCAGGTCTGGTCTGACACTTTACGCGACCATTTACTTTTCGATGCGGAAAAGCTGGATCGGTGGCCATTGTCTGCGTTGTGTCCGAATGGATGAAAGATAAGTTTGAATTTTGGTCACGGATGGACCAAGAAAATTGAGTGATTGCATTCTACCCTAAAATATTTCTCTGTGTTGAAACTTCGTACATATTTCTAGATAGAGATGGACTGAGATATGTTTAAAATTAAATCAACGTTTTAAAAGGAACGGAGTTGATTCGCAAGCCACGTGCATTGAAGCATATAATTTTTTGGAGTATTGCAATCGGTGATTGCCATAGTTAGAGTCTTTTTCTTTAACTCAATATGTTTTGTGTCCAAACTTTTCATCTACCTTGCTATAATTTAGTGTAGAATATCGATTGTAATAAAAAAAAAATTAAAAACCCTTTCAAGCATTGAATTTTATGAGGCAATGGTACTCAATTAACATAATAATAACCCTTGAACAATATTTTCAAGACAGAGACGTTTGGGAAATGGCCTCTTTCCTTGAAAAATAATACTAAAATGACATCTTCTCATTTTAAATTCCTTATCAAAACTCGTTGTTTAATAAACAATACATTAGTTGCTTTGTACTACGATCTAGTGGTATTTCTCTTGTAAGTGAGAGGTTATAAGGTTGAATATCGTAGATGATGAGTTCGATACCAATTTATTCTCTTATTCTTTAGACCAGACATATCATTGTATAGAAACATTAAAAATAAAATACAATAATTTAAAACCAAAAGCAAACAATATTATTTTCTTAAATTTATCAAAAAGGATATGAATTTTTTAAATAGAGCGTTAGCATTAGTGGATTAAATTCTAGTTGTTATGGGAAGGGAAATTGATGAGGATCCAACCCTCATCATGGTGCATATGAATGATTGCTTTCTATCATTACCATTTGGAAAAAGTACATGACTTCTTTGTTAGTGATGGCATGCGCCTTGATAGTGGTATGTGCATTGATAGTCTCAAGAATACAATACTCACCTATTCAAGTATTGTATTCTCAAGTATCTTAAAACATGTTTGTTGATGCACAAAACGAGTTAACTTTAAAATAACATAAAGTGTCAAGTTATGACCTTTGCAAGGTTGCTATGGTCACTTAGCAAGGGTAATATGAAAGAGATAGAGATAGCGAAACAAATACAAACTATACATGGTTCACTCTAAGTTGGACTACATCCACGAGGGTGGAGGAGTTCTCATTAGTAATGTAGAATTTACGTAGTAAAATGGTCTAAGCATAATCATTATTAGTAGGTTCTAATAATGGGTACTACAATAATGGCGTTAGGGAATAATTGTAGAAGAATGGTGTCCTTTTATAGTTGAGGAGAGTTGCATGCTTTCGTCCGTGGTCTATGTGGGACTCTAAGAGTTTTATTTTGATGTTGACACATGTCACATTGTGATTGGCCTCCTGGTTGGAGAGAAACTCTTATCCTTTAGCAGGAGTGCCTCAACACGAATCCTTTCAATGGGCTCTGAAGGTATAAAGTTGACTGATGCTCGTTAGTTTCGGGATTGGTAAAGTGTGGTACAAACAATGTTAAACCCTTTCTAGGAACTTTCAAATCACAATGGATTGAGACCAAGTTAGTTAGGAATATACTACAAAGGTTTAGATAGGACGTATTAGGAATGTACCACATGAGTCCTATAGATGCATATACAAGATTCATGTGAATAAGATTTACAACTAATTACATGTAAGGAGTCATTTACAAATACTTCTTAATAGTGTTTTCTAAAGCTTGTTTGGTGGACCATTAAATTGGCCATAACGTGGCCTATTAAAACATTACAATGTCATAGACAAACTCACAAATTTATTGCAATGTCATATATCTATTGGTTAATCAGTTTATTTGATCGTTAATAGATGACCAAGTTAGTTAGGAATATATTACAAAGGTTTAGATAAGGCGTAATAGGAATGTACCACATGAGTCCTAAAGAGGCATATACAAGACTCACGTAAATCATATTTGCAAATGACTCTTTGTAAGAGTATCTTCAAAGGAAATGTCAAAATCCTAGGTGGAATGCCATTGTGCATATTTGACATCAAAAGTCTCTCCAATCGAAATGTTATTTGCTTACTGAATTTGAAGGCTTTGTGGTTTGGAGTCAAATTTGACTTCAATGTCAAATTGATTTTTAATTCATTTTAATGGTGGGTTCCTTGTTCCACTAACATATCAACCAATACAAAATTTGTTTCAACATTGTTTTAGTAATTATAACCATTTCAAGCTCTATTTAAATAATCTAATAATATTTGACAATTCGGTTGGAGAAATACAAAATTTGACGTAAAACTTCAGATTGCCACATTAACCATCAATTATAATTTGACTCTTATAATTTTACATTTCATTTAGAAATGATCTAAGGATTCATTTACAAATACTTCTTAATTAGTGTTTTCTAGAGCCTATTTGGTAGACCAAATAAGACATAATGTGGCCCATTAAATTGGACATAACGTGGCCCGTTAAAACATTACAATGTCATGGATAAACCTACAAATTTATTGCAATGTTATATATTTATTAGTTAATCAGTTTATTTGACCGTTAATTAATGATTTCGCAAGAATGAAATGCTGATGTAGATATTTAAAATATGCCACGTGGAAAACAATACTCACATGTTCAAGTATTGTACTCTCAAGTATCTTAAAACATGTTTGTTGATGCACAAAATGGGTTAACTTTAAAATAACGTAAAGTGTCAAGTTATGACCTTTGCAAAGTTGCTCTGATCACTTAGTGAGGGTAATATGTAAGAGATAGAGATAGTGAAACAAATACAAACTATATATGGTTCACTCTAAGTTGGACTACATCCACGAGGGTAGAGGAGTTCTCATTAGTAATGTAGAGTTTACATATAGTTGAGGAGAGTTGCATGCTTTCGTCCGTGGTCAATGTGGAACTCTAAGAGTTTTATTTTGATGTTGACACGTGTCACATTGTGATTGGTCTCGTGGTTGGAGAGAAACTCTTGTCCTTTAGCAGGAGTGCCTCAACACGAATCCTTTCAATGGGCTCTGAAAGTATAAAGTTGACGGATGCTCTTTAGTTTTGGGATTGGTAAAGTGTGGTACAAACAATGTTAAACCCTTTCTAGGAACTTTCAAATCCCAATGGATTGAGACCAAGTTACTTAGGAATATACTACAAAAGTTTAGATAGGACGTATTAGGAATGTACCACATGAGTCTTATAGATGCATATACAAGATTCATGTGAATAAGATTTACAACTAATTACATATAACAAGTCATTTACAAATACTTCTTAATAGTGTTTTCTAAAGCCTGTTTGGTGGACCATTAAATTGGCCATAACGTGGCCTATTAAAACATTACAATGTCATAGACAAACTCACAAATTTATTGCAATGTCATATATCTATTAGTTAATCAGTTTATTTGATCGTTAATTGATGACCAAGTTAGTTAGGAATATATTACAAAGGTATAGATAAGACATAATAGGAATGTACCACATGAATCCTATAAAGGCATATACAACTCACGTAAATCAATTTTGCAAATGACTCTTTGTAAGAGCATCTTCAAAGGAGATGTCAAAATCCTAGATGGAATGTTATTGTGCATATTTGACATCAGAAGTCTCTCCAATCAAAGTGTTATTTGCTTACAGAATTTGAAGGCTTTGTGGTTTGAAGTCAAATTTGACTTCAATGTCAAATTTATTTTTAATTCATTTTAATGATGGGTTCCTTATTCCACTAACATATCGACCAATAAAAAATTTGTTTCAACATTGTTTTAATAATTATAACTATTTCAAGCTTTATTTAAATATAATAATAATATTTGACAATTCGATTGAAGAAATACAAAATTTGACGTAAAACTTCAGATTACCACATTAACCATCAATTATAATTTGACTCTTATAATTTTTCATTTCATTTGAAGATGATTCAATTCAAGGATTCATTTACAAATGCTTATTAATTAGTGTTTTCTAGAGCCTATTTGGTAGACCAAATAAGACAAAATGTGGCCCATTAAATTAGATATAACATGGCCCGCTAAAACATTACAATGTCATAGATAAACCTACAAATTTATTGCAATGTTATATATTTATTAGTTAAACAGTTTATAATTAATGATTTTGATGTGTGCTTCATCGTCTCATTCCCCTTCATCATCTCCTTCCCTTTACTCATTGCCATCATCGCCGTCTCCAACTCTCCTTGATCTTATGCTCGATCGCCGAATCGCAAGTAGAGACAGCGGGCTGAAGGCGCGTCTAACTGGCACACAAAGGTTCTATTTTTCGGTTGGATTTTGGGTTTTACCATCTGGATATTGTCCATCTTCTCATCTTCCAGGTACCCAATTGATTATTCGTTAATTTGGTTATTTGGGTGCTGAATTCCGATCTAATTTGAGAAATTTATCATCTTTTGGAGTTTCCAAGGTGTGGTTTTGATTGGTCGCCTGAATTCGTTTTTTTGGTTTTTGGTGAGATTGTTTCAATGGTGGCCATCCTTGAGGTTTGCCTCCTCCTCCTATATGTCAAATGGGTCTAGTAGTAACCATGTATCTGCCTTGGCCATTTTTGAACGTTATTTGAATCTAAACAAACTCAGTGGCGATCTTGAGAGACCATTAACTGAGCTATTTCTCATACGTTGAAGTATTTGGAATCTTGATAAAGTTAATGCTCTTGTATTGTGCTTTTTGTTACCAGAAAATCAAGGGGTTGGTAAATGGTCTTGGTTTTATTGGGCTCTCTACCCAGCCATAGTAGGGAATGGGGAGTTGGAATTTTTTTGCTAAAAATTCACATGTAGATTCGCGGATGGGTATGAACTTTTTGTTCTCATGTATTCGGCTCGTAACTGTAAATAACAAGAGCTACAATTACATGTTTACAAAGCTTAGCTTTCATTCTCTTGTTATTATTTTCAATTCAAGTAGTTTTAACTGATCAAGTACTAATCATAATTTCTCAATTCTCATGTGTTGATGGGAATTTAGTGTCTGTTTTATTTATGTTAGTTTCTATGAATATATCCATCGCAATCATTAAATATGCTAATGTATGGACGATTTAGTGCTTACGAGTTGTGGATATCTTTTAAGTTAGGCACAAAACTTGTCATACTTGCTTGCATGGGTCTCCCTTATAATTCAAATGATTTTACTTTTAGTATGTCATGGATTAGCCAATTGGAAGATACAAATTATAAACTTGTTTCATTTTACTTTTATGTATCATACCAGTTGTTCTTTGTTCTGCTCCCTTTGAAAATTTTAAAGAAATATGTAGACTTGGTTCGAATGAAAAGAGAGATTATAGTTGATTTACCAAGTATCATGGCTGTGTGAGTTTGTGGTGTTTGATGGTTGCTGAAGTGAAGAAAAGGAAAACAAATTGATGGTGTTTGTTTATTTATTTCACAAATGGTACATATCCAACATTAAATTCATCTAAATTAAGATCAGAGAACTTCAAGTTTAGTGTAGACGGAGATGCTGCTCTAACCAACTTGGCTAACCCTAGGTCCGTAAATTGATGGTTTAAAGTGAGCTTACAAGGTGGATCTAGCTGTGCAAGCACGTTCAAGTCCTTTATAATAACTGACATAACAAAGGAATGAGGGAATCAATTCCCATCAAATATGTTTCTCAAGCATTTCAAACAAACAGTCTCTCTTGCATGTGGACAGATACACATGTAAACGTGACCCAGTTAAAGCTAATCTTGGCCTTTGATTCTTTAGTTATAAAAACCAACGTTTCAGATTTAGTTTGAAGAGAATAATTGCAGACCTTGTAAGACCACTTGAAAATTTTACCTTCTCCATCTCCATTGTCTTCACGAGGAAGACCTGAAAATGCAACTTACAGAGCCCTGCTTTTCCTTCTCTTTCTTCCTCTTCCTCCTCCAAGGTCAGGATTGATAAGTCTCCACCACCAATTGGATCGGTGAGGTCGCATTCCCTCTGCTTCAATCAAATCCTCGCCGACCCCATTGTCGAATGTTGTTTTCTTTTTCCCGAATTCCGGTTAATAGAATGTTGGTATTGAATGTTGTTTTCTGATTGTCAAAATCATTTTCTGATTTTCTTTTCAGTTGAATTTGTGCAGGTTTGGAGTATTGAGCTCGATTCCATAACACCTTCCCGAGGTAATTCCCATGTTCTTGCTCATTGGTTACTTTTTTTATTCACTTGGACAGTTGTGTTTTGTAATTGCTGGGTCTTTGATGATAATTTGAATAATCTATTGTTGTTACAGTACAATTCTTAATTAAGTAAAAAGAAAAAGAATCCACCATTGTTATTAATACTGTCTGGAAAGTTGGTCATAAATTGAAGCCTTATGGTCTTTTTATAAAATCACAGGAAAATGACCAGTGATCCGATGAATCCACCTGGACTGGTCGTATCGACCACCGAACCCATCCTCTCATTCCTCACCTCAGCTTCCACAGACCCACACCTCTCTCATGAACTCCAGCAAATTGGGTCCAATCTATCCTCCAAACCCAATGTACCGTACAAGTCTCTCCGAGCTCTTTGGGTTGCATCTGATGCCTCGACCCGACCGCAGTTGGCCCAACTCTTCTCTGGATGCGAGTTCGTCCTCACCAGCCCCAAACCCAGAGAAAAGGTGAAACGCAAAACACTATATCACCCCTTTGTGTTTTGTTTGGTTTGCAATTGAACTTTGTTATTTTTTCCTGTATTTTCCAGAGATTCCAAATGAAATGTAATTGTTCTTGTTGTGTTTAGAGTGAGGAGTTGAAGGCTAGACTTAAGAAGCTGGCTGAAGTTTTGGAGAGGAATGCATATGCAGAACTTGTGAAGGATATTACCCCTAAGAAAGAAACCACTGAGCCTTTCTCTTCTTACAAGGATCAACTCGGCTTTGGTAAGATAAAGAGTTTATACATGTCTAACATAATGTTTTATTGCTTGTTTCTGAATGATATTACTGTGGCAAATGCATTGAGCTTGGACTTTTTCAGTTTTGTGATAATGGCGTAAGTTTCTTTAATTCAATGATCTTATCAGGAAGAGTTCAATTTGTAGTTATTGCTTTGGTCCATTGATGGAAATTGATTTTTATGTGAATGGATTTGAGGGGAATGCGAACAAAACTGTGATATAATACAAGGATGTTGTTTTTTATTACAAACAATTTTTCATTCTCTGAAAGTGCAGAGTCATGACATTTAGAGGGGGTAGAATGGTTGGATTGGTATGCTTGACAACGTCAGATTGGTTGGACTTAAACATGGTAATTCAAATGGAAACTGTGAATCCATTCTAAAAGGTTTAATGGATAAACTCTGGGATGTCACGTATCAGGTGTCTTCTTTGGTTTCCTTTGCATGTAAATGTTGCTCATCGGTCATCAGAGACGATATTGATTCCATTTCCATGAGCAGGTCAACCAATAATAGTATTTTACCTTGTGAATTTTATCATACCATCCACATGGAATGCATATAGAATATATATTTTTCCATTCAGCACATGTTCAAATTTTCTGTCTTAGTAACTAGTTTAGATGCCTATGTAAGCATGAAAGAACTATGTTAAGGATGAAGCTTGAAATGTTGAGCAATAAAGAAACCAGATTCTGTTTTAGTGAATGCTTTCCATTTGAATGAATACATTTTCCATCTGCTCAAAAACTTAGCTCTTGAGGTATCTAATGCTTATATGGAATTTCAAAGAATAATGAAATTTTGGTGAGTCCGAGGATGTATTCGGGCATGTGTGATCTGTACAAAAGTTCTAATTATTTGTACAGGTGTGCAAAGTACTTGCTGGTTTTGTTGACTGGGCAGTTTGGTGTTCTATGGCAGTTTGTTTATGTGGGATTACTCTAATGTGTTAGCACCTGAATGATGAAAGAATTAATTTCTTCTTTCCTGTTTATTAATGCCAGAAATTTTATGACCGTTATTTTTTGTCATATTGCTGTTTTGTTTTCACTCTCTCTCTGCTTGCCATTACATTCCCAGCAGATGATATTGAAAGGAAATTGGTGACTGATTGAGAAATTTGAATCTAGGATATATATGGGGAAATTACTGGCTGGTGGTAATAGGGAGAGCATTGGGTGGGGGGGAGTATTCTGTGATAATTTCCGGACCAAGTCATAAAAGTATTGGATTGCATTTTAAATTAACATGATAGTAGACCATTATTTATGTAAAGAGTACATGAAATCACATTGGAAGCGAATTAGTTCACAAAACTAGAGATTTCTTTCTAGTTTGGGTGAACTGTGAAACTGGAACTAGTTCACAAAACTAGAGATTTCTTTCTGGTTTAGGTGAAACTGGAACCGAATGGAAGGCAGTACAGGCTCCCTAGCCTAGAACATTTGCTTCATGGGAAGCATTTTGTGTTAAGAATTCATTGAAATAGTTTGACTACATATTTGAATCTCTGTTTAAAATTCATTCCTCTTATTTCCGAATAGAGTTGAGTGGTTTATTTTTCTAATTTAAAGCATCTATTGTTATGTTTAGAAAAACAAAATATATTTATTATCCCTTTGTTAGCGAATGATTGATAATCTTTTAGTTTCTTTTCTCCTTTTTAATTGTGTTTGTTGTGTAAATTTTCTGTAGAATTTTTATTCTCTTTGAAAATATGTTTTGGATGCTCCAGTGCTAAAACAGTCAAAACTTCTACAGGTTTACATGTTGTGGTGACCATGTTTACCTGCTATTTGGTAGGATATGCTGCATTCAGAGCTTTGTTTAACCACAGTCCCGTCATGGTATGTATCTTCGAGAGAGTAGTTTCTATTTTATTAAACTATTTTTTGGTTTCTGGGCATTGTAATATGTGATTATTGTTTGGTTCCTATTTTATCTGCATGTTCTTTTTCTTATTTACAGTACTATATAAGTTGACGGCGCTCTTATTTTTCTCATCTCAGAATGCTGCTGGAGGCATTCTTGGATTGGTCATTGGCATGCTCGTGGAAACATTTATTTTCATAATTAGAACTTCTAGTCAAGATCTCAGATCATCTTCTTCCACATCCAAGCTAAAGAAGAATCAGTAGGCTTGGTCTTTGGAGGTTCGTATACTTTTATTGACGGTTTTATTGATAGTACTTTTTTGACATCCTAAATACAAAGAGATCTGAGCAATTAAAGCAACCTTACATGTAGTATCGTTATCGGCCTCACACTCCATATTAGCATTGTTGTGAAGCTAAGGGCATTATTAGCTAAGTAGATAACAGTTGAGGATAAGCTTCCAATTTAAGGGTGGCATGGCTATCAACTGTAGCAGAATGGAGTAGTTAACACACAACTGAAATTCGTTATTCCCAACGCGAAAACTAGTTGACATCTGGCCAACCTCATTTATAACGGCCCTGCTTAGGCATCCCTGCATTAGAGGCTTATCTTAATCTGTCAACTTCCCTGCTGTCACAAGTCGTTAACAACTTCAAAATTCTAGCAGCTAACGCATGCTCCTAGCCAACTTAACAATCGTGCAAACATGGATGCTGATATATGTGATGGCTGACATATAAGGTTGCAATCAATGTTGTTCACGCTTGTTTTTGACTACGTAGTAGGGATGGTTCCATTCACTTACAAAAGTTGTGTCTTTCTGATCTTAATTGTAGTCTATTATCTTGAAATTTAGGTTTCGATGAGGAGGATGAAGCGTAAACAGAGGAGAAATGTCTATGTTACTAAATATACTCGTATACTTCAAACAGTCAGGTACATTCTTGTCCTCATAGAGTTATCCATCGGCCTGATTTGCATGAAGCCGGATAAGTATGGTTGTTAGTTTTACAGATCGATCGTGGGTTTACCACCGAAAGATTAAATCAAGGTCTTATAGTGGACCTTTTTTTTGTATTACCATTACATCCCAGTGGGATGTTTTTTGGATGGTGGTTTGGGATCAAGATCTTTGTACCTTTTTCAATGTTTTCGCAAATTTGTGCCACAAGAAACACTTGAGACTTAACATCTGCAGATTATTTGAATCATTATGTACACATAGTTTAACAAACGATATACACTAAGGGGGTGGGAGAGTGGGCTAAGCCTTACAATGGTCTAGCAATAATGTGGTTCAAATTCGACACTGGTGAGAATCGAAAGTAGGACATTTCACTTACAAAGAAAGAGGAATACTACTAAACTATAGTACTAATTGGCAATATGTACAGTGAGTTGACAGTTGCATGTTAACTAGAGAAATTTGATACCAAGTTTACACTAGAGGTACAATTTTTTACACCCGACAACAGGTTGTCTTTTTCGGGTTGATATGGTGTGAAAAATAGGCCCAAACACGACCCCTTAAACCCTAAACCCTAAACTCTAATTTTGTTGAAGTTACTTAATATAACAATAATTCGATGAGCAATCGATAACTGTTGGTTTGAACCATTTCTTTTATTTCTAGTTGTTAGGGTAAGACAGAAGTTGGTGAGAGGTTGAAGCCTAGAAGGGAGAAATGAAGAAGAACACATCAAATGAAAAATATGTCAGTGAAAACGACTCCTCCATTTTTTTATCTGAAAACTAAAAAATAAAAACGAAATGATTATTAAACGACGTTAAAGTAATAATAAAATCACGACAAAGCAAGCTGTCATAATAAAAAGGAATCGTTACTTGGTACATACTTTATCTTATCAACTTGAAATAATTTATTAGGAGATAAGATAAACCCCACTTTGTTAAGTTGATTTTGGGATTTGTCATTGACCCGTTAAAAGTCGATCTATTTTCTTTTGTCTTTTCTTTACAAGTGACACTACTATTCTTCTCTTTATCAATTTAGATACTCTTCGAGAATGTATTCTTTTGGAAATTTCAACTGTTTGTTTAATCGACACAAATTGGGACCCGGATCTCGCAGATATTTTGATTCCAACGAATGGTGACGCTATAGCTTCAACTTGATTAATTCTTAACGAATTAGCATTTGCAATTTGTAAAGGTCATTCTAGCTATATACGAAATTCTTGGTGTGCATTTGTCTTCTTCTGTTTGTCAAAAGTAACAAGGTAATAATAATTAGACGATTTACCTAACGGTTAGAAATCTTCTTCTTTACAAGTGTTTTATGAGACAAGAACTTACATGCCATTAGAATAGCGCCGCGTGATGTCTCGTGTCAAAAGTAAAATATGTTTAAACAAAAGTTTACACATTTTTATTTTGTTAACATGAAACTTCACAATAATATTGTACATGTACTATGTAAGTTTTATGAATCATGACCTAAAGTGGGAGAGATTTTTCCATCCATCCATTCAAAACATAAATCAGTATTCCATATGTCATGATTTAAATAAAAATTATATTTAGTCACTTTCTTTTAAATCATGACATATAATATGTCGACTGACTCGTGTTCGGAAATATTGAAATAATTATCCTAAAGTGAAATAAAGGAAATTGTCACTTGATATCAGATGGGGCTATAAATCCACGTGGAGCAGGTGGGACCTTCCCTAAGTGCATTGGGTTAGGATAAACGCACCGTTCCACTGTCTCGGCAACTACAGACAAAATATACTCTTGGAAATAAAGGAAATTGTGAGTGTTTTCTTAATTTTTAGCTCTTTAGGATTAGAAATGCATGTTTTTAATTCCAATTCAAAAAGTTTTGGATATGAATATCACAGAATTTTGGGATCAGAATCTCAAAATATACTCTTGGCGAATTTGAACTTTCGAGATCGGATCAATTCCGAAATTTCGTAGTTGTGGGAGTTATTTGGCTTCATCCATACCAAGATTACATAATATATCATCATCACCACGCTCTCTCTACATAATATATATTCATGGAGTTATATGTTTTCATTTGAAAAGTTTCGAATGTGAATATCCGATTTTGTTTATATTTGAGTATTTTGTACAATATATAGCAAGGATACCTATTTAAAACATAATTAAGTGTATGTAATGGAATTAGGCAAGTTTCTGAGATTCGGAATATTCAAATACATTTCAATTTGTATCCAATTCTTCTCATATTTTTTAGGTTTTTGATGTCGAATTTGGATTGGACAAGATACTTTGGAACTTATCGGCTCACGATCGGTCAGGGTCGAATATTTCTATCCAAGTTGCAACCGTATGTGAGTGTTGGCAAATTCTTGTACCTTATTTTATAAAAACCAACGGCATGGGGCAGGGATGGGAACACAGAAATTATGCCAAAACCATATGCTGGGATGGGAACACAGAATTTATGCCAAAACTTCTGAGCGACCAAAAAATAGGTAACGTGAAATCTCAGTTACTTTTCATCACACGGTCAGATGCGGATAATCTAGGAAGGGGTCCTCCTGTCTGTCCCATTACCATCGGGGATTTTTTTTATTTTTTGAACAGAATTTGGCTGCTTGAAAACAAAATTTGTTTGATTTGATAAATTTTTTTAATAAGTGGGATGCAATTCATACTAAATGTTGTTGTCTGTTCCAAATATTTTATAGGCTATGTTAATAATTGTACCATAAAGAGATGATAAAAATTATAGAATCACATTTTTATTTAATATATCGGGTGGACCAAATGATTGTACAAAATGTCAAATTGATCCATAAGTCATCAAATATCATTTTGATGTTTTACACTTAACATCTCTGTTGAAGATGATTTAATGGTTTATTAACTAGACGATGATACTAGGAGAACATTTTTAGTATTTCGGAACAAAACTATGTACACCAAATCATATTACAATTAGTTGAAATAAATTTTCGAAGTGTCTAACTAATTTTATTATTACATTGGGAGGAAAGGGATCCATTTGGATCCCTTTGATGAAATCTACCAAGGCACACAATCTGGACCTTTGAAATTTGATCCAACGACTAAAGTTACTATAACTTTTAAAATGAATATCTATTTGTAATCGTTAGATCAAATTTCAAAAGTCTGAATTATGTACTTTGGTGGACTTTGATGAAAGGCCTCTTTCCACCTTTGGAATACACGGAGGGGACCACAAAGATTTGTCGTGAAACGTGCACTTGGCACTGCTTCGTTCCTTACCTGATTCACGATCTTCCCGCCTTCCCCATCGGAGTGGCTTACTCACTACTCGCTAGCCAGCCTCACGTGCAAATTCGACACGTGTCATCATCCCGTACCACCCCAAGTCAACCCCGTCAGCGCATCCAACGGCGCAGAGTGAATTATATATACAGGCCTTCACTTCACGGATCTCTCTGCAAAAAGCAGAGAGAAAAACTACGAAGTCTCACACTTTGCTCAGACACTGCAAAGTAGGCAAAAGCTTCAATTAGCAGTCATGATTCGAACCGGTTCTTTTGCGCTCCGGTCACCGGCGGTTTCCGCCTCGCCTAGAGTGTCCCTAGCCCGGAACGACTCGCTCTCGAGCGTTTTCTCCGGCGAGAGGAGCACCGTCGGATCTCCCATGATCTCCCTGCATTTCGACGTCAATCGCCGCCGAGATAAGATGATCCGGGGATCTCTGTCGGAGAGCAACGTTCTGCAATCGGCGTCCGACGGATTTCGAGCTCTGCCGGCGAGTTACGCTGGTAAATTGGCGGGAAGTGGAATTTCGACGGAGGAGCTGGTTCCTGGCGGCGGCGATTGCGGAGGGAATACTGTAACGGTGCAGGAAGGCGAGCAGAGGAAGATTGGAGCGTATTATCAAGAGATGCTGAAGTCAAACCCCGGCGATCCGTTGCTGCTGAGGAACTACGGGAAATTCTTGCACGAGGTAATTGATTAATTAATCAAATTATCAAATTGATCTGCAAATTAATTATGATTAATGAGAAAAGAAAGATGATAAAAATGATTGAATGATTTGGATTAGGTGGAGAAGGATGCGGTAGGGGCGGAGGAGTGCTATTGTAGGGCGATATTGGAGAGTCCGGGAGACGGTGATTTGTTGTCGCTCTACGGAAAGCTAATCTGGGAGACGCAGAGAGATGAGGAACGGGCTAAATCTTACTTTGATCAGGCTGTTTCTGCCTCCCCTGACGATTGGTATGTGGCTTTTATTTTATTTTATTTATTTTTATTTTTTTCAAACTCTCTTGCTTGGTAGATAATATACGAGAGATTATCTACCCAAGCAAGGAATTTAGTTTGGTGTTTTTAGTTCAACAAATAAAAATGTTCGATGTTTTTAGTATTTTGTTTTTCGATTTTATATCAATTTTTCTCTAAAAATAAAGATAAATTGTCGATTTTGTTGCTGAATTATTACTCGAGCATAGATTAAGTCTCTAAAGTTATTCTTTTCGATATTAATCTCTAAACAATTCTGTCCAATTTTTCGACATTTTAAATCACGTGACTTCCATGTAGTATTATATTGTCAATTCTTTTACCCATAAACCACTAATTTTGCGAATGAAACTATACTATTTTATCTTCCAAACTTAATTCCATAAACTATTTTTCAGAACAATAAGTTTATCTTTATAAATTTATGTCAATATACTCTTTAAAGTGTGTCACGTCTACTTAACTTAAATTCACCGAAAATTGAATATTTGCTTGTTTTAATTCTTAATTTTTTTTTTCTATCATTTGTTTAAACTAGTAAATAAGATTAAGAAATAAAGCGCTCAGAGCTTTGCCGAATTTGGAAGCGTCGTCTTTTCCTAAGCGTAAGAAAAAAGTTTGATTTGTCTGTGTATGTTATGTTTAATGCAGCATGGTGTTGGGGTCCTTCGCTAGCTTCATGTGGGAAGCAGAGGAAGACGAAAACGAAGACGACAATGAAGAAATCAACATTGACGACGGAACTCAAGCCTCATCTGTGCCGGCTCTGGTTCCTGCATTTTAACTCTGTTGGATGAAGTAGACCGCGAATTCGACAAAGAGAGTTCAACCACGCCACTCGCGTTCCCGGGAATTCAATTCCCAACGTTCCTGATGTTGGTAAAAACGGCAAAAGAAAAAGAAGACGGGAGGTACCAGTTTTATGAGAAAGGCTTTTACTGTCGAAGTATAACTATAACCACTACTTAACTTGAAGAACAAGAAATAAACATGTATATGTGCTAAATACATAGCATATGTATGTAATATGTAGAATGTGCTTACTTACCCGGCTGAAATCTTTAGCTTGCTAAGTGAAGGTTGAATGTGTTAATTTCATTTGCTTGTCTGCTTTCCTTGTAAATGTTTATAAATAAAATTATAATGTATTCTAATCTGTCACTTTTCTGTATCTTATCGAATGCATAGACTTTGTAATACTTTGCCTTCATTCATGCTAACGGCTTCTTATTCCATTTGAAGTTTTGAACTTTTGGGACGTCAAACAAGACCTTATTTGAAAGTACTTTTAAAATAATTGAAAGCATTTTTGATGAAATTGATTCAGGACCAGCCCTGGGGCAGGGCAAACAGCCGGCTGCACAGGGCCCCAAATCTTGAGGGGCACCAAAATTAGTTTACAAGCATATGTTTATGCCAACAGCGGTGGGAAAGAACTAAGGAGGACAACCTGAGAAAGAAAAATAGCTTTTTAACCGTTGACTAAGGTTGAGTTTCCAAGAGCCAAACATTGAAGATGAAACTTAGAATTCAGTAGAGCGGTTGTCAAGGTTGACTGTTCAATACTTCACTGGTGATGAAGGAGAGCTACAGTAACTTGATGGAATGAATAGTATTTGGTCCTTTAAAATATTTATTTATTTTTATTTTTATTAAATCCGCCTAATCCACCTAAGCCCCCCTCGCTTAGACCTCGTCTAGCCGTCTAGGCACTAGGCTTCGACTTGCCGCCCAATTAGCGCCTAATGTTTTTAAAACCTTGGTTAAGAGTTCAGTCATGAGGACCCTTTTTTCATATGTCTGAATAAAAAACAATAAAATTTCTTATGTGGACCTATACAAGGGCATTATTCTTGGCCTTGCCCTGGGTCTCTTTAAATCTATGAACTGGCCCTAAATTGATTTATGTGTTCTTGCAAGAAATACTTTAAGTGTTTTTGTAGGATCTACTTAAAGCTCGTTTGGAATTGCTTTTAAAATAACTGAAAGCGCTTTTAAATAATATTTTTGGGTTCTAAAAGCACTTCAAGTGCTTTTCCAAGATTTTCTTAAATTTTTAGTAAGAATTGGTTCTAAAAATATTTTTTCCAAAAGCGCTTACAATCATTTTAAAAACACTTTTCAAACGAGCCCAGTGATTTTTATTAAGGATTGATTTCAAAAGTATTTTCATTAAAAACACTTTCAGTCATTTTAAAAGCACTTCAAAACGAGCCCTAAAATATTAAATGTGAACAATTGAAGTCACACTTGTAACAACCCGTCCCTAAGTTTACAATTTAATTAATTTTAAATGAGTGATTTGATGAAAATGCCCCTAGAGGCGAGATTGTTGACTTTCGTTGACCATCATATTGTGAGATTGTTGACTCTCTCTGCATTCACCATGCACAATAACACCGAACCACCACCACTTGATTACTCCGACGAGTTAGACCATCAGACCACCACCGCTTGTTGACCTTCCTTATCTTTGTTAAGCTCAGACCCTGAACATCAAACCCAGGCGTGGAGCTTGCACTGCACAGTGGCCATTGCCACTGTTCACCATCTTCTTCGACGAGTTCTCATCGATCTCGACCAAGGTAAGCGTTAGGACCTTTCTCTCCCTTACCTTTTTCATTATTAGTGAACAATCTCAAGGTTTGGACGCATTTTAATAGGGTTTAGAAGCTGTTAGGACGAATGGAGGATTTTCCCAGAAATTTTGGAAGCTTAGAACCAAGGAAATATTGTGCCATATTGAATTCTTGAGATACCGCTGGCTCTGGTAAGTACTTTTATACTATACTTAGTATGTATATTTTGGAAACTATAGTCGTTTAATGGCGAGGGATTATTATGTTTTCGAAAAGGTCTTTACAAAAATTTTTTTTTAGGCCCACTCATTCTTATTTTTCGCCCCTCCAGGTTTTAGCAGAAGGTATGAAGAGGAAAATCACTTGCCATGTGGTGTATTTTTTTCAGGTCTTACTATATGAGAGGAAGACAAGGTTGATTTATTAACACATGATGGTGTTTCAAATACACCCGAAAATCTCTCGTGAAAATGCACCTACTTGTCTATGCAGTTTTATCTTTGGGCCCATTTGATCTCTCAGCCCACCCAATTTATGAAGTCTTAACTTGATCCGGCCCACTCTCTTGCAACCACTTTCAAACACTCCCTCCTGATTTAAAATAAGAGGACTCTAGGGTTTCGAAGCCCAGCTTCCCTTTTCTGCCTGCAACGCTTTGAAGTTAAAGAACTTGCGCTTTCTCTCTGCGTCCTGATTGATTTCTCAAAGTTCCTTCAAACCAAATACAATGGGTAGGAGGAAACCCAAGGACCCAGAAACCGACGCCGTTTCAGCAGCTCAGTCCGACGTCTTCAAGACCCTATTCGGCGACGCCGCCAGCCACGACGCCGCCCCTGCCATCTTCTCCGAGAGCAACCCCTTCAGGAGGAAGAACCAGGAATCCGGGTTTGGGCTTGTTGCCCCTTCTCAACCTGCTGAGACCACCAATAATGGCGAGTCTGAGAACAATGGCGATGACGGGGACGGCGAGGTGCAGAAACGGAAGCGGAAGAACAAAGAAAAGGCGGCTTCCGGGTTGATTAATGAAGAAGCTCCACAGAGTCCTGTGGAGTTGGAGGGCGAAAAACCAAAGAAAAATAAACTGCCGGAAACGCTCAATTCTGAAAACCCTAATTTGGGCTCTGAGTTAGAAGGGTTGTCAAGACAGGAAAATGATGAACCCTCCGAGACGACGAATGCGGTGACGAAGAAGAAGGATGGGAGGAAGAGGAAAAGGGATGAAGTTGAGAGGGAATATGAGGTGAAGAAGTACGGCGTGAAGGAGGGCGAGGAGGATGGGGACAAGGAGAAGAGGATTGTTGGAGAGAAGAGGAAGACAGTTGATAATCCAGCTGATATGTTGGTTTCCAACGAAGGTTTCGACGACGAGAGTAAGCTCTTGAGGACTGTTTTTGTTGGAAATTTGCCCTTGAAGGTCAAGAAAAAAGCTTTGATGAAGGAGTTCACTAAATTTGGAGAGGTGGAGTCTGTGAGGATTCGATCCGTGCCAATTTTGGATGTGAGTTTTGTGACTTCTTGTTTGCAAACTGTGGATATAAATGTATTGTTGGTTGCTGATTTTGTACATTTGGTTCTTTTTGTTCAGACCAAAAGGCCCAGAAAGGGAGCAATACTCACAAAACAAATCCATGATAAAGCTGACAGGTAATCATTTCGCATCACTTAGTCAGTTGGTTTGGGAACTGCTTGTTGCATTTATAAGCGTTTTTGAAGCACGTAAGGCCCTGATTCCAATTTACAATCAGATTGTGGGTTGGGGCTATAGGTTCTAGGTGTACTATTGGAATCTATCGTAGCTCAAATAAAGCCTTACATTGGAAGGTTGGCTCCCTCAGTCACCAATTTGTTATTTAATTTGGTGTGACTTTAAGTTGTTAAAAGTAAGTAAAATGATGTAGATTTTAGACTTTTGATACTTGTTGACATGAAAATTTCAAATTTAAGCGATTTACGATTGCTTTTGAAATAACAGATTTTGTGTTGCAGCGTTAATGCCTACATTGTTTTCAAAACCGAGGAATCGGCACAGGCTTCTTTGTCCCATAACATGGCTGTGGTATGTTATTTGCATGAAGTTGGGTGATTGGTATCATTCTGCACAAGCTCTTTCGTACAGTAAAGCTGAAGTTGTTGATCTTGTACCTTGACTTGTTATGCATGTTGATGTAGGTTGAAGGACATCATATCCGTGTTGACAGGGCTTGCCCACCTCGTAAGAAGCTGAAAGGGGAGAGTGCTACTGTTTATGATCACACGAGAACAGTTTTTGTGGGTAACCTTCCATTTGATGTAAAGGTGAATTGCTCTGCTAGGATTTCTTTTCTGCTTCTTTTTGGAACTTTCCACCTCCCAATTTGCTTTTTGTTGCACACTTTTAGTTGCAATATGTGGACAACAATTTCTTTTCTTTTGCAGGATGAAGAAGTTTATCAGTTGTTTTGTGGTATCAACAATCTTGGATCCAGCGTTGAAGCTATTCGCATAATCAGGGATCCTAATTATGGTATCGGAAAGGGCATTGCTTATGTTTTGTTTAGAACAAGGGTATGTGATTTTCACCAACAGTTTATCAAACCCTATTTACCGTCAATAATTCTTTGTTACAATGTCATGCATTTTGAACTCAGATATGTGGTTGCTTAGTTGATTCTATTCATTTTCTTCTTGGATGGCGTGCTCTACCTTTTTAATGATAGTCCTCATGGGGATGTCAATAGGACCCCCGGTTGTCTCCTGGAACATATGTGAAACATTTGTCTTTTCAACCCTAAAAATATAAATTTGTTACTATGGCAGTTTGGCGGTAAGTATATAATGACGTTAATTTAGCAAAAGAATGACTACAATCAATTCTTTAAATATGCATATTGGGATGCTAAGGTGTTTCCTGCCATTATCTTTATTTGTATTTATCTTAAAGTTGGACTGAGGATAGAAATAAGAAATTATTGATGGAGTAGTTTCTGTAAGTGTATGATTATATTTTATCCCGAACCTTCTTGTAGCATGAATATTTCATTTCAAAATTAAGAGTATTTGGAATTGAATACGTGCATAGTTGACTAAACTATATAAATTACTTTGTTTGCGAAACTCTGTAGCTAAATTTGTATATGCTGTAAGTTTCTCAAGGTACACCTATTTTCAATTCGTATCATCTGATACGGTACATTATGTGTTGTCTGTCAATTTGGGCATCCAGGAAACTGCAAATTTGGTCGTTAAGAAGCGAAACTTGAAGCTTGGGGATCGGGAGCTCAGGCTGTCTCATGCAAAACCAGAGTCCACCCCAACTAAGAGAAAGAACCCCTCATCAGCATCAGAAGCTAATTCTTCAGCCAAAAAGCGAGCTGTGGACTCGAGGAGTCCAGATTTTAACAAGTCGAGTTCAAGGGCATCTTACCAGGGCCTGCGTGCAGGTAAGCCTGGTGTCCAAAAGAAGTTCAATGCAAAGGGCAGTAGACCAGATAAGTTTGAATCAAAATCACCAAGTGGAGTGAAGCCGAAAGAACGGAAAGATAAACGACCATCTGTTGCTGCGAGAAAGGCTAAAGAAGCACTGAAAGGTGGCGCTGCTTCAAAACAAACAGGTACAAAGCGTAAGCTTGATAGCCGGACTCCAGATAGCTCCCAGCAGAAAAAGAAATTCATGAAATATAGGTAGGAATATACATTAACATTACGAAATGTGTACGTTTTCCAAGTTTTTATTTGTTGTACAAGCTATTAATTGTCAAATTGGTGATATGGTTTTCCTTATAATTTTCCCATTTTATTTTCCTTGCACTGGTTCCCAATCTTTTGATAGAGACGTGGATTGGAATCCGTGGCAACAGTTAGGTTGGAAGATTAGGGCTGACAAAGAAGGTCATTCCCGGTAATGATAAACACACGCCATTTTTACTCTCCCACACGCTCCTGTTTAATTTGATCTTCGTTTTTAATTGATTTGAAATCAAGAGGGGCGTGTGAAGCTAAAATGAATAGGAAAGCCACCTCTCTTTGTATTCACATTAAGAATATGAAAGGAACCAATTAAGCGGAATTCCTTTCACATTAAGAATATGAAAGGAAGCAATTTTAGATGCTTTAATGCCTTCCCAACTTCAAACTCAATCATTAAGCCAAATTTGACAAGGAATCGTGAGAACAAATGTTCTTCCTGCTTACCCGCTAAGCATTTTAAGCATAAGTGCTTTATTATGAAGCACTTGCTACCTTTCTTTGGTTATACCAGGCAGCCTGCATCGACAAAAACCGTCGAAATTGTAAACATTGCCGAAGGGCGGTTACGTCAACCTCATTCCTACGGCTTAGTCGTTACGTTTATGAAAAACAATACTAATATCATCTTGGAACTTTCATTATTCAACACTAGAGCTGCGTCAAGTCAGAAATTGACTAGAGAATGCCTTCACATTTTTGTTGATGATGATACACATACCCTATAACATCTTACCACTGAAATCGAAGTTACATACACATTTAACCCCAAACCCACAGCCCGAATGAAACATGACAGTCAACAAATTCCATCCAAGGACACGGACACGCCTTCTACATAACGAGGCAGTAATACCTTTGTATTGCAATTTCTTGATGCTCATCTGTACAGAGCTACCCAAACGGCTGCAAGCAGAACAAGGTCCTCATGTACACCAAGCAAAGTTCAGTAAGTGAAATACTATGCTTTGTTCTTGCTCACTAGGGTGGGAGTAATTGAGACAACTCCAATGAAGAACAAGGTGGCTATCGAGTTGAAGTCATAGAGATCCCCAAGGGATCGTAACTCTCCAAGAGCTAATCCAGCCTGCAGCACGAAAACAGAGTCAAGTACACAGGCACAACCAGTGACTATCGAGTAGAGCATACGTAGACGAGACCACGCAGATAATTATATATTTTTCTGCAGTAGTCAAAATGTGGATTGAGATGGCGTCGAGAGGAAGGTATATTGTATTTATCTTCCTCTATAACAAAAATGGAAAAAAAGATATTGATTTTTATTTTGGATCATATGGCCATAGAACCCTTCAGGTGTTGCATAGACGTCTGATGTTCTTAGACAACAACTAAACTTCAATATTTAATCAACTTTTTGAAGTGCAGGATACATACCCTGACAGTGACGTAAGCAGCTGGTATCAGACCAATTGAAGTTGCCAGTAAGAAAATATGGTAAGGCACATCAACTATTGGTGAAGCAAGATTAATAAATGTATTAGGCAAGGTCGGAGTTAATCGGAGAAACAACATATAGTTCAACAGTCCCTGCCTTCTTTTAGCTACCTGGAAGAAAAACAATAATGATTCACTCATTTTGGAAGTTAAAAGTATCAATGGGAGATATGAAAACATTTGAATATACCTGGTTTTGGAAAAATTGCAGCTTGTCAGGCCAAAGAGAGATGACAATGGGCCTCCCGATCAGCTTTGACAAGAAATAACAAGAAGATGCACCAGCAGTGGCGTTAAACACCACCAAAGCTACACCTTTGAAGACTCCAAAAAGGGAACCGGCAAGCAAGGACATAAATACAGTACCAGGGATCATGAAAGTCTGCATGAATATATAAACCATGCAGTACCCTAACAGAACCTGCGCGGTGTAGTCACTTGTGTAGTCCTCGAGGTGAACTCTAACCAGAAGAAGACAATGACAGAAAACAAAATAAATAGAACCGCATAATACCATTAAAATCATATTCAACAATTTATCTATAAATGGAGCAAACGCAGCTGGAACAAAACACAACGCATCGGTCATCAACTAGGGGAGTACACGGCTACACTCAACCAAGTTCATAACTTTTTCCGACAATGCAATTTAAAACGTTTCGCAAAATGTGAGTAGAAGAGTCATCAAACTTAAAAGTTTAAGCTCACAATAATGCAACATTCCATGTTCAGCATTAATCTCTCCTCCCTTACACATTAAGGTCGCACTAATGCATTACCCCGTATCCTTCATTGATACCATAACCAATGAAAAACAAAATTAACTAATGTAACAGTTGCACGCGGTTCTATCAAATTCCTCAGAACACAAATCAAAAGCCCGAATCAAAACTCGCTCAGACGAATACTGGTGCATAACGTTCAAGAAAAGAAAAGGCCAACGCAGATAAGGAGAAAGCAATATTCTATTCATTAATTTCAAATCCTAGAAAACGATTTGCGAAAATAAAATGCTTCAAGAATATGGATCCATGCAAAAATCAGGTCTCTTCCTAAAAAATAAATTTTGAGACATGATTTTTTTCCTAATTAGTTTGCATTAAGAGGTGAAAATCCATAATTAACTAAAAACTAACATAATAATCCCAGATTGATATCGCATGCATTAGAAACCCACAAATTTCCCATTAAAATTCGTGGCTTTTCCTGGAAAATTCAATCCTAAAAACCCAATTCAGATTCATGGGAAATTTATAAGAAATTTTATTCAAAAAAGTACCTGAGGATTTGAAGCTCCTGGAGGCTACGGGGAAGCTTGAGGAAGCTGTAATCCGATGCGGGCATGGTCAGGTAAACACCCAGAAGGCCAAACAAGAAGCCCAATACGACGGTGGAAGCCACAGCCACCTCCCAGAAGCTCAACGGGAACTTACTATTATTGGGTCCCACTCCCCCACCAACCACCTTCACGTCCACCCCATTGTCGTCTCTCTTCTCCATCTCTCTCTCTAAATTTCCCTTTCCTCTTTCTCTTTCTGCAATTTTTCTCGGGAAAAGTTAGAGAGGATGAAAATCAAGGAGCCCCTTTTCTCTTCTTTCTTCTCTCTCCTCTGCTGTTTTACGGTGTTGAAGAGAGAGGGAAGAGAGACAAAAACGAAAGAAAGGATATTCGCTGGTTCCTACTAAACCAACTCATTCTTCCCAATACAAGTTACATGCAAATTGGAAAACGATGTTAATTACTATTAAAATAAGGGAGTTTTAACGAAAAATCAACGGTACTGTTTATTTTAACGAAAAATTATATTTTTATACTAAAAAGTCAATCTTGGTACTATTTATTTTACCCTTTATTTTGTCCTTATCATTAAAATTTAAAGTTTTCAACCCCTTTTCATTAGCTTTCCTTTAAAATAATAATACTTGTATCTCTATATAAAAAGGGAAGTGTTATTGGCACTCCAAAAATCTCATTCTACACTTCTCACAAGTGTATTTTTTTTTCTAAATATAGAAAGTTTGTGAGTGTAGAATGAGAAATTTAGAGTGTCAATAACAATTCCCTATAAAAATACAAATATCTTGTATTTTTATTGTATAAATTTTATAATCTAAAACATTTAATTTTTTAATTTTCAGTACAAGTAATAATAATTATTTTTTTTGAGGAAGTTCAAACATCAAAATGTATCATATAAATAGATGAATTATGTATATGATATTTGGTACTCAACTCCTCGATTTTGTTCAGTATATTTGAATACATAAATGATTTCTGATTCGTATGATTTTTTTTTTTTGAAGTATGATAGTTTAAAAAGGTTTTAATTATGAAGTTTTTTTATAAAATTTATTCGTTTTATAGATTATATTTTTCTTTTAAAGCAATTTTGGTACAACAATTTTTAGTTTGGCTTTTAGATAAAACTTAAATTAGGAGAATAGCAACTAACTTTTTATTTAGAGTAAGATGTAGATTTTTTCCTTAACCTTTTACCCCCTGAACTTTTAAATTCGAAAATCAAGGACTTAAACTAATTTTTTTGGCTAATTTCCCTTACAGTTAGTTTTCCATAGATTATATCCAAATTAACGTTAACTTTTATCACGTGCACACCACATGACTCTCATTTGAAACAAAAACGTCACTTCGCTAGACTTTCAAACGCAAAAGCTATAGAATCACATAGATTTGCACAGGTCAACATTTTAGAAATCTAGGATTTTTAATTATTTTAAAGAAGGAAGTGATTGAACCACTCTCACATGTTGTGCATGTGCTTTCATTTAATAGAAATTTGGATGGAATGAATGAAAAACCAACAACACTAGAGAAATCAGCAAAAAAAAATTAGTTTAAGTCTTTGATTTTCCAATTTAAAAGTTTAGGGGGTAAATCGAAAGTTAGATGAAAGTTGAGGGGAGATTGTCAGTTTACTCTAAATGAAAAGTTTAAATCTTATATTGTATTAATCACAATAATTTAATAAGGACACTAATTTTTTTTTTTACCAAATTAATAGTGTGCATATGGCTACTTAGTACTACGATATAGTGGTATTCATCTTCGCTTGAAAGTGAGAGGTCTTAAGTTCGATTATCGCCAAAAGTGAATTCAAAACACATTGCTAGCCCATTGTGAGGCTAAGTCTACCCCTTCCCCTTAGACCATCTCCAACCCATGGGATAAATCTTAAAATATAAGTTTTAAAACCCCCCCCAAACCATCTCCAACCATTGAGCTAAAATAAGTCTTGGGGAGAAAATATATCTTTGGGCTAGATTCCCTTTAGGATTTAAGCCTGATTTAAATTATTCTGGACCCACCCAACTGTCATATTTCTTTTATTTTTATTTTTTACTTATAATCTAACGGCTATGGTCAAATGAGATCAAATCTAATGGTAAAAAAAATTTGACGACCCAAAATTCAATCGAACGTCTAAAACTATTTTAAAAATGATTTAAATCAAATTTAACTTAAAATTTTATAAATAACTATGTATTTGTATGAATTTAGATTACTTATCGAAATTCAAATAATTTTAGATTAAAATGTTCATAAAAATAAGTTAGTTGTAGGCCTATTTAACTGAGCTATT